AGAGCTCTTTTGCAGGCCTGTCCTCAGACAGGCAATACAGTTGTCCCTCGATATCTGTGAAAGACTGGTTCCAGGACCTCTGCAGATGCCAAAATCCAGGGATGCTCTCTTATGTAAAATGGTGTAGTATTTACATATAACCTAGGCACATCCTCGTGTATACTTTGAATCACCTCTAGATTACTTACAATGCCCAACACAATGTAATGTACCATCGTTTGTCTAATCACCATTATTTTTAATAGTTATTTTCACAAGCCAGGGAAGACTTCAGAAATGGAATCAGCTGACCATCACCACTGGGGTTCTAAGACTCCCTGGGAGAAAATATCTAATGATCACTGAAATGTCCTGCTTCAAAGCTGCAGGGAATCTGGGAGTCCATTTATGCCTTATACTTGACAGACATGAGAACGGAAAGCCCAGGGATGGGAAATACTTGTTAATGCTTCATTTAAAAATATATGTATTATCTTTTTACAGCTGAATTATTATTTTTAATGTTTTTTTCCCTAAATATTTTATTTTATTATTTTTTTTTTTGAGACAGAATCTTGCTTTGTCGCCCAGGCTCGAGTGCAGTGGCACAATCTTGGCTCACTGCAACCTTCCCCACCTCCTGAGTTCAAGCAATTCTGGTGCCTCAGCCTCCTGAGTAGCTGCAGTTACAGTCTTGCACCATCACACCCAGCTAATTTTTGTATTTTTAGTAGAATCGGGGTTTTGCCATGTTGGCCAGGCTGGTCTTGAACTCCTGGCCTCAAGTGAGCCACCTGCCTCGGCTTCCCCAAGCTCTGGAATTATAGGTGTGAGCCACTGTGCCCAGTCTCCCCTGAATATTTTAAATCTGCAGATGGTTGAATCCAGATGCAGAACCGACAAATACAGAGGGCAGACTGTATACATTTCTGGAACCATGTAGGCCTGCCTGCTTCCCTGCAATTCCCCTTTCTACCACCTGTCATCAGGAAACATGGATCTCAAGAAGACCAGCTGACCACAGACCCATTTCCCTTCCTGAGACCCTCCACGGTACACTGAACAGGAAGTGACCATGCTCCGCCAGCTGTGGCCAGAACCCACCGTGTCTTCAGTGGAGCACAGCATCTCAGCAATCATTAATTGCCGCATTGCGGTCTTAGCCCAAGTCAGGCTCACTTCCCAGCTGGCCACTTACTACTCTGAACCAACTCCTCAACAGCAAGATGAAACTCTGAATCACTCCTCCTGGGACTTCAAGGTTCCTGTCCTTAACTGGCCCCAGACACAGCCCTAGTTCCACATCATTTTCTCCAGAGAAAGAGAAGCTTGAGGCCAAGGGGTTCTGACAAGTCAAGTCTAGGCTAGAAGACATTTTCCTGGAACCATCGGCCTCCTATGAGACACGGGGTTAGACTGGGCCCCCCAGGGGTCACAGAAGCAGGGAGGAGGAAACAGCATGTGCGTGCGGCCCCTCGGGGCCACACCCTTCCATCCTGGCATGCGCCCACAGGCCCCCCGCACCACCACTGAGTACCCCCAAGAGAAAACAGCCCCACTCCATGCATGGCTGAACTGCTGTAACTCCATCATGCAGCCTGGGTGTATGAGTAATAAGTGTATGAAAACATGAAACTAATATTCATAATTACCTTACAAGATAAAGAACTTGAAGGAAAAACAGCTTGTGTGTGCCTGGCCGTCACCATCAGGATGCTCCATGAGAAACATGGCATCTCACCAGAGCCACAGACATCGTCTGCCCAGGAGTCTCAGTGCGGCAGCCCTCAGCCCCCACCAGCCACTGTACTTCATTGTTAGTACTTAATTAATGGTGCCTTTGTGCTCCTGGTCATCCCGATGCCAAGCCCAGAGCCGACTGGGACCTCTGACTTCTCTCCCATGTCTAATCAGGTGCCATTTCAGCCAACATTTGCCAAGTATCAGCAGGTCCAGGCCTGGGCCTGGTGCAGGGAGTGACAGGGTTTCTATTCATGATATCCTGTCCCTCACTCACACCCCTTTAGTCCCAGCAAGGTTCAGACTCCCATTCCCTGCCCTCCTTTATTTGTTGATTGACAAATAACATATCTACAGTAAAGCACACCAATTTTAAGCATCTGGCTCAACTGAGTTGTTGTTTTTTCTTTTTTAAACTTTTATTTTAAATTCAGGGGTGCAATTGCAGGTTACATAGGTAAGCTTGTGTCACTGGGGTTTATCATATAGATTGCTTCACCACTCTGGTATTAAACCTAGTGCCCATTAGTTATTTTTTCCATCCTCTCCCACCTCACCACCTCCACCTTCCGAAAGGCCCCAGTGGGTGTTGTTCCCCCTCTAAGTGTCCATGTGTTCCCATCATTTAGCTCCCACTTATAACTGAGAACGTGCGGTATTTGATTTTGTTTCTGTGTGACTTTACTAAGGATAATGGCCTCCAGCTCCATCCGTGTCCCATCAAAGGACATGATCACTGAGTTTTAAACATGTGCATACTCACGTAACCACCACCTAAACAAATGGTCGAATATGCTTCCAGCACCCAGAGAGCTCTCTTGTGCCATTATGAGAAAATATCCTGTCCCAAGTTAGGACCTCTTTTATCAGAGATTTAAGTTCAGGTTCTCATCAGCTCTTCCATAAATTACTGCCCATTAACTTTTTAATTCTTAGACTGCCTCCTTGGGACCCTGCTTTCCTCAGTTTACCTGTCCTATACTGCCAGGTGTATAGTCCTCCATTATAGCTCCAAAGCCCCTTGGAGGGCTGCACTGCTGCTGCATACAAACCCCAACTCCAAATACAAAATCCAAGGCCCTTCACTTCTACATAGCACTCCTCGGTCTGAAAGACCTAACCCCTCTTCTGGAAACCCAACTGCTGCTCTCACACCTCTGGGCCTTCTCTTCCATGGAATATGACAAAGATTCCTCACGCCCCAGGTCCATGCCCAATTTCCCCCTTTCAGTCCTATGCCCATCCTTGAAAGCCTATTTCATCCACAGACCTTCTGCAAACTCCCCAGAGAAATGCTGGTCCTTCTTCCTTGATGGTTCCCCAGCATCACTTCTACTTCTTGGAGGGCACTAAATGTCATCCTTGAGACATAGCTTCCTATGTGCACATCTATGAATCCTTGTTAGAGGTTCAATTTCTTGAAGACTGGGATTCTGGGATTTCTCAAACTAGTAAAGCTTTAAAATTTGGGGAAGGGAAGGGATAACAACCTAGAGTTTCCAACTTCTAATCTGGCCAACAGAAAAAAAAAAAAATCTATGATCCATAATCAACACCATTTCATTAAAGAAGACACTGTGGCTAAGAATAAAGGTTGGAGAGATATAATCTCAGAATAAAATGGCCAGGTCTTCAAACTGAATACATTGGTTTATGAAAAATTCACCACATTGTCCTCATTTTCCACACTTGACTATGCCTGGAGAAAATTCTCATAGACGAATTGGCTCCAATGTCTGGAAACCATTGCCCCATCACCCCTGGTATAGCTGCACATACACAGAAAGGGCTCAGTGAGTATGCAGTTCAACTGCTCGAATCACAGGAAATCATGTGGTTCTAAGACAAGGAGCATTTTAGCTCTGCTTCCATCCCAACACAGGAGCCCAGAAAACAGCAGTGGCTGGGCAACATTCCAATGATGAGAAGGACTGCAGGACCCACCCACACACACATGACAAAATGAAAAGCAATCCCAATATGTATGACTTGTGCCCATGTAACAACTTAGACAAGCAGTGGGCCTTGCCATTGGCCCAGGTGCCTAACTCATTGTCACAAACCCCAACCTGGTGCAATGCATGATAATGAACTTTCAAAAGTGTACACTGGGGCAAGCGGGGATTGGAAGGCGAAATAAAAGGGCCACCACAGTTGGCTGCATAGTTTGTGCCAAGGCACAAGGGTGCTGGCTGGGGGAGCAAGCAGGGACTGAAATCTCACCTGTGCTGCACCTGCCAAGCCAGGCACCCTAGCCCAGGGCACAGTGACTCACAGGAAGAAACGCCCTTTTCAAAGTTGCACAAAGAACCAAGACTTCATTAACCGAGACTCTGAATTTCAATTCAAGGCCAAGAATATGTCAGGTCAAATATATATGTCAGGATGAATTTTATGGTAATGTGGACTGTATCTCTATAAAGCTTTTATCAAAATACATATGGGTGTGTATGTGTACACAAGTCTGCACACAGATACACATCCAAAAAAAAACTCTTATTCAGAGAGCTAACAAAGAAGGAAGAGTGCATAAAGGAGGTATTAAAAATATTTAAAGGAATCATATATAGAAGTTATATTATTTATGTATTATTAAAATTCATGTTCTAAGATGACTGTTGTGGGAAAAAAATGAAAATTGTTTTTTTAAGGACATCTATAAAAAGTGAACTAGAAATAGAATTTGAGTTTTTATTATTAGTTTTAAATATAAATCATATCTACCTTTCAAAAAGTCATCTATTCATTTCTGACTAACATAGCCTGGTGTCTCTTTTATTTCAAATTGGTTTGGCTTTATTAAACTTTCAGTCAAAAGGTAGAGAAACTTCTAGTAAGCAACAGCTGCAGTATCTACAGATACATAACAATTAAATCTTCTAAATATCACACACAGTTCAAACTCTTTTGGTTATCCCGTGATGAGATCCCCTGCAATCTTGGATAAAAACTATAAATAAACTTCATGCAATCATTTACTCATTCAACAAACATTTATGGAGTGTCCACTATGTCCTAGAACTTACGCCAATTTCCTTTGCATATTCTCAGTGTTTTATCAATTTTCAAATGTAACTCAGGTTTTGGAACCAAGTCTGATTTATGACCAAATGATCACAACAGGATACCAGTAGAATTCATTTTTCAAAACAGAATTTTGTGCCCTCAGAATGAGCTGTCTCCCAAACAAGCCTTGGTACCACCCAGGCATCTGGCTCCCAGAACAGACTCTCCTCCTGCTCAGCAGGGATGCCACACCCGCAGCCAAGCTGCCTTCCTACCTGGATGGTGGTGTTGCCTCCTTCCAGAAGGGCAATGGCCAGGAGAATGCTTTCATGGAACACTCGGTCACTGGATGCGTTCATGATGAGGTCGATAACTAGATTGGAAGCCCCCTCCTTGTCAAGGTGACACTGAACCTCGGCCAGACTCATCTCACCCCTGCTCATAGAGCTGGATCCGGAACCTCCCCCTAGGAAGATGGAATATTGTTTTTACTAAGCATAATCAGAACAGCTAATGTTTGCTGCATACTTACTACGCACCAACACTTTACGCACTAAATGTTTTACCCATGTTCATCTCTTTAACCCTTTTAACCCCACAAGGAAAGTATTGAGTATTAACACACAGATGAAGATGCTTGTCCAAGGACACCAGCTTGTCAGCAGCAGAGATGGTGTCTGAATTCAGACAGCTAAGATGCAAAAAGAATGATATATTTCAAGCAAGGGACCTAAAGCCAGCCAGCAAAGACTCTCCCTTACATTAAACACAATGACTGGTGGCAGAGTTCAGAACTGGTTTCGGAAACAAACCAAAGTCAAACACTTCTTAGAACACTCTCAAGGAAGCTTAGCCTATAATGATCACTTTAGCCCTCTTTTTAACAAGCCCACTCTAACCCCCAACTTACTCTTTTCCATAATTTATCGGTTCATTCATTCAACAAATGTTTGCTCACTGCTTGGCATGGAGCCAAGAGCTGGGGATAGGGGAGTGAACAAAACAAGGTTCCTGTTCTCACTGCACTTCAGAGGAGATAAGTATACTTAAGAAGAGAGGGCCATTCATTTAGAATGGATTCTGACTGTGTTTGGAAGGTACATATTTAAGGACTTGCCTTGTATTACTATTGGCAATAACTAAAACATGAACGCACATGGAGAAATGGGCTGATCAGCTTCAAAAAGCAGAAAATTGTCTATCTGTCCTTTCTTGCAGAACTCAATTCCAGTGTCACCTCCTTTATACTGCTTGTCCTTGACTTGTCCTTATATCTATAGCACAAGGTAGAAATTGGGTTGCACATTCTCTCTGCTACAGCTTCTCAGAGCGGAGTCTGTCTTGCATTTCCAAATCCCTGTCATGATGCCTCCCCAAGGGCTTCACATAATTGTTAAATGACCTCACTACAGAAAGTAAAGAGAATGGTTTTGAGAGATTATGTGAAGAACCTCTGCATCGATTTTTGGACTTGAAAGGCCAAGTTCCCACCTCTCGGATGCCTTGAGAACTGCATCTTCATTGAGGCTCGCATAACTCCATGAACTGGGCAGCTATGCTTCCAGTTTTCATTTAGGGAGAAATCCAAGCTTCCTCCTTAGCATGTGCTAGGACAAATTAAGTGTACACTGAGTATTTCTGTGCTATGCATGGAACCCACCAAGGATCTGAAGCTACCCCACAGTCATCACCATAAGACAGGAAATCAGGCACCTCACATCTGTGCTGAGCACTGCCTAAAAACACAAACTCGGTAAGACCCACCTTTGAGTTCCATGTTTTTGTATCTTTTACTTGTAAGTGTGCTTAAACCGATTTAAAGTAAGCACTTCTGTACAGGGATGTTTTTTGTATACTTCCATAGGAGTTTGTGGATGTACACGGCATTAGAATTAGATACACCAGGCTGAAATTACAGACCAGCCACTGACAAGCTTCCATTTCCTCTGTGGAACTGGGATAGACTGTACCTATCACATGATGAGCAGCTGGGAGGAGAAAAGAAGGTAAAGAATGCAATGCACTTAGGAAAGCCCCTGGCACTCAGTCAATGTATAATAAACGGCAGCTTTCACTATCCTGGGTGCCAATATCCTCATTATTTTACGGAAAGACAAGAGTCCTAACAACCACAGGACAAAGTGCAATAAAATCAAATCCCTCAAATCATTCAAATATCACCAAGATGGTCACTGCATGGGAAGGAGGAGCAAAAGGCTTAGCCACTATCTAGCTGCAGGGAAATGCTAGTTTGCAGGAAAATATGTTTAGACATCAATTTGGTGGTAGACCAAAGACAAAACAAGTTGCTAAAAAATACACTTGCAACACAAATTCATCTGTTGTTAGTGTTTCAACCTGTTAGGAGGAAACATGCAGCTATCATAGAACACACTTGATTCACACATGAAGCTAATTACACCACAAAGCCTACCTCCTCCCCCGGGCTTGCTGGGTCCTCCTGGTGACAGTGGGCCATTGCCAAAGCTGGTAAGGCTCTCTCTTCTTCCCGAAGGTCTGATGTTTCCATAGTAACGGTTGACCAGAATTTGCCTGAGCGCCTCACCCTTAATTCAAACAGGATAATAAAATCAGGTTCTGCATTTAATGCATAACTGAGTGACGAATATTCAAAACACACAGGGGTACTCAGTTATAATTGGCCCAGTTTCACTTGGCGAAAAAATAAATTATTAATAGAAGCATTTAGAAACTCTGAAGTTAACTTCAATATTTTCTCAGAAAACCAGATTTTTTTAAAAAAATGGTAGCAATCTAAAATATTGACTGAAGTACCCTCTCACACAATGATAAGACAGAACAGTAATTTTGAAGGACAACTAACAATAACAAACAAAAATCCCTTTGGGGTAAGTTGATAAAATTAAGACAAATTGAAAATGCTTACAGGTCAGCTTCCACATAGCAATATAAAAATGTTATTTCAAGCACAAGGTTTATTCCCAAGGTCCAAAAAAATATTAAGATTTCAGAGTAATAGGGTAAGATGATACAATAAGCCAAAAGTAAGCCTTTCTTACAAAAATAGTCAATGGGCCAAATGTTTTAAAAAACAAAAGACAAAAACAACAAAAACCTCATAATGCTATAGGAAATAAATTAGTGGCATGAGTGGCAGATATCAAATATATAAAAAAACCCATCATAGGTAAAATGGCATTTTGTCTGGAATCTTCTTTAAAACAATACAGGAGAGAAGGGGAAGCAGCAAGGGATATAAGTGAGACAAGAGTAGGCATGAGTTGACAGTTGCTGTTGAAGCGGAGTTATGAATGAGGGGTTTTGAAACCTTTGACTCCTTTTATACAGATTTCAACTTTTCTATAATAAAATTTGTTAAAAATATAAGTATCAAAGAGTCCTGAACAGGGATACAGTAACTCTTTGTAATTACTCTAACCTAAAAAACCTCCATTGTTCAGTAATAATGGGGGATGCTGGCAAGCAGGTAACCAGAGCCAGCATGCATTCTGCATTCTCAGCTCTACACCTTCAGCCGCGCTTCTAAGGGGCCCTAAGATCACCTCCCAATCGGAAGGCTCTAAAAGTCAAAGGCTGTAAAAATTTTCCCTGGACTCTTTTCCAGAATGAAAGTAGCAAGGCATGGAGTTCCTCTGGTGCATCATCAAGAGAGGTGAGGGAAAAGAAGTCTGGCCGAGACGAAAGGTGTTGAAATGGAGCAGGTCTCTAAAACAGAGACTCAAGAGTTCTTTTGAAAAGACCTGCAACTGAACCATGAGTCAGTAGAATTTAAAATGATTTGTTAATAAGCTCTGAGAATAGGTCTGGAGATTTCAAGTGAGGCGTTTGCAAAACAAGACGGGAGGGAGCAGATTGAAGCGGGGACCCTGGGAAATGGGAGGTACCCTGGGAGAAGTGGGGGACCAAGGAAGAAAGGAGATAGGCAGGAAACTCCTGGCTCCTGTCAATCATCAAAACCGCTGAAAGTCCCAGAAAAGGTTTATCTACTCTTTAATTCATGCTGCTAATTAAAGATTCCAGGGACAGATTGGGATGGGATAAACAGGGGAGACGGGAGGGGCCTGATTTTTAAATGAATGTGCAGAAAACAAAAAAATCCCAAATTTCCTCTTTCCATTCCACCCACAAATATGTCTCTCTTCATAGTTCGGCAAAGGAGGGTAACTTCTATCAGCTCATGAAACTCATTTCTCACTGGACCAACGGTAAATTCAGAATTCCAAGAGTGCTTCAAATGGGTAAGTTACTTGTGATATTTTAAGTACTTTTCAAATAAACTGCTCACAGGTGGGGAAGAAAGTTTCAGTGCAAGATTCCTTAATGACTTAGAAGACCCCATTCCGGAACAAAGATACAACTTTACTGGTATTCCAGTCTCAGGCACCAGTGTAAACACATGAGCACTCTCTGGAGAAGTCACTGGGAAGACAGTGATTTAAAAGGCTGACTTCATAAGAGAAGCACAAGTTTTAAAGCTACATTCAAGAATGCCTATGAAGAAAGAATTGAGGGCAAGAAAAGGTTGTCTCCATGTTGAATATGATAGATTAAATATGTTGAATATGACAGATTAAATATGTTGAATATGATAGATTAAATATGATTTCCCTTTTTAAATATCATAATGAATCTATTTGATTCTCTTTCAATACGACACAGACTTTGAGTTCCAGCAACAGAAGTGATTGGCAGTTGACCATCCCAAGTCTCTAACTGAATCCCCTCTGGCACTGTGAGAACATTGTTTGAGTGCTAGACGGCTGGGCTGAGACCCATAAGCTGCAGTCAGGGAAGACAGCCAACGTAGCCATCGCAACAGGAATCTGAAAGTGCATAGGGTTGAGTGGTCAAGTCAAAGGCAGTATGGCTGTGACCAGTCAACAAACACACATCTCTTAAGGAGGTCTCATCTGGAGCCTGTGCACCACAATTCCACTTGGAGCTAGAATGACTTGCTTAGATTTTCAATTTCCGGTGGCGGCTTTTTTTTTCTCCCCCTCCTCATGGTTTTGAGGGTGAACAGCAAGACCCTGGTCAGTCTGCAATCAAGCAAGCAGGAGGTAATGAAAGGAGCACGTGGACGCCAGGAACAGGAACTCCACATTTATGCAGTCTGGATGCCAAACTCAAGTTACAAAGGGATCTCACATTACCATTTTGTCTCTCCTTCAACAGAAAAACCCTAGCAGTTACCATAGCAACTGATGCATCAAATGGTACATTTTCCCCCATAAGAGAATATCATGAAATGTGCTCATTCTGGGGAAAAGAAAAAAAAAAAAAAACACATTCCACCCCACAAACTTTTTTTTTTTGCTTTTAATTATAAGGTTTTTGGCACATACTCATCTCACCTTCTCTACACACACACACACACACAGAATTAAACTGCAAGGAAGAAAAAACAGAGAGCAAGGGTTTAAAAAGACGAGATGCATTCCTTTTTTGAAAGAATAAAGACTGAGAATTATAGGTAAGAGGGGATAGAAAGGAAAAATGGATAAGAATCATTAAAAGTTATGCAAATCCCTAGTGTGAAAACTCGGGTTCAAGGAAAATTCTGTTTTTCTGAGACAGTGGTTTAATTTAAGAAAAATTAAAATCTGCAGAGAAAAGCCTTCCTAATCATCTTGATATAAATTACTCAACAGCACTAAGCTGTTCACAATGTACCAGGCTGAGAAATCTGATTGCAGAGAAGGAAAAAAAAAATGACTTCTCAAATAACGTCACTTCTTCAGCTTTAACATTTGGCTGTGCAACCCTTTTTAAAAATAATACCAGTTTTTTTCCAGCAGTTTACACCTACAGTATGCAAACAAATATCAGATGTTTGTCTCAGTCAGAAATTCCCACACATTGTTACCTAAGATTGAGAAAAGAAAAAGTCATTTGTAATAAGTGTCACATTAAAACAATGAAAATTGGTAGATTAGTGATGTGGAGTAATGAAACCAAGCTCCTACCTGGTCACTCTACCAACATGTGTTCCACTGATACCAATTGAACTAAATAAGTGAAGGAACTGCGTGGGAAGAGAGCCAGTGTTGAACAAGGCACTAAGGAGTTAACATTGCCACACACAAAGGAGAGAGAGAACTGACCTTTTCAGTTTCCCAGGTTCCAGCCACTTAAAGATCATGTGCTTCAGGCAAGATCGCCCTCTCATGTGAGCTGTGAGCCTCTCACACCTTAGTCAGCATGAGGGTAGCGCCTCGATTTTAAAATACCTTCTTTCTCCTCTTGCTGTCTACAAAATCACCTCAATGTTTCAATTCACAAGGTATCTACAAGTTAATATCCCTTATCATATTCCAGTCACTGTGCTAAGAGCTTCATGTGCACAGCTCAGTGTCCTAAGGTATGGGGACTGTTGTCACTCCCATTTTACAGCAGAAGAAACTGAGGCATAGGGAGGTTAACTTGCTCAAAATCACACAGCTAGTACCTGGCAAAAGAAAACCCCAAAACTTGAACCTGTTTCTAATTATAAAGTTCACGGGCATAGGCAGCATTCAATACCAAGTCCTCTGAGAGCTTAGGACATGAGGGACAGCTGTGTGCGTTTACCAGCTACTCCTAGGACCTAGGACAATTCTAAAGGGTAGGCAAGGATGGAAAATAGAAGAATGCAAGGTGCCTTGGGCCATGAAATGCAGGAGATACAGGAAGCTGGAGAAGAAGGACTATAGCATCACGTCCTGAATTCTGCTGAAATGCCAACTTCCTGGAGCTATTCTCCAGTCCTAGTCTGAGAAATCACAAAGTTGATGTCTCTATCAGAGCAAGAAAACAAAAGGGATTTAGGATGCAGTGGGACTGGGCAGGGGCCTGGGTGTGTGAGCAGAGTAAAGGTGCATCTGGCTCCCCATTTATCTCAGGCATCAATTCTCCAAGACAGGCGGCAGGTGGGGAAGGTTAATGGGTACCAAAAAAAAATGTTAAAAAAATGAGTAAGACCTGCTATTTCGTAGCACAACAGGGTGACTACAGTGAACAATAACTTAATTGTACGTTTTAAAGTAACTTAAAGAGTGTAATTGAATTGTTTGCAACTCAAAGGATAAATGCTGGAGGGAATAGATACCCCATTCTCCATGGTGAGTATTTCACATTGTGTGCCTCTGTCAAAATATCTCATGTACCCCATAAATACATACACCTACTATGTACCCACAAAAATAATAGAAAAATTCTCCTAGACACCAATGATCATAGTTCCAAGACAGTCTTCAGAGTGACAGGTCATTTTTGAACTCCATGACCTTAGACAAGATGTTGAACATCCCAGAATCTCAATGTCCTACTTGTGAAATGAGGATGAAGCCTGTGTCACCAGGACATCTGGTTATCTTCCCAAAAATGGGCAACATGAAAATCAGTGCTGTTGGCATGCTCATGGATATATACAATCTTCTAGAAATGGTTTGGCAAGGCACAATCAGCACCTTAAGAACACATCTACCCCTTGGCCAAGGAATTCCTCTTCTAGGAATTTATTCAAAGATGCACACATTCATTCATTTCTTCATCAAAGGAAAAAAATGATGAACCACCTGTCAATTTGGGGAATTTCAGGCAGCTGTTAACTTTCAAAGATTTTCAAAACAAATGCTCAGATACGGTATTTAATGACAAAACAGGGTACAAAAGTTGTATACTTAGAATAATCCCAATGACAATGCAAATGTGCCTGTGTCTGTTAGCACATGTGCTCATGTGTATAAAAAAATGGGTAGAAGGAAATATTAAAACATTAGTGGGGCTGGGCATGGTGGCACACACCTGTAATCCCAGCACTTTGGGAGGCCAAGGCAAGGGGATTGCTTGAGCCCAGGAGTTTGAGACCTGCCTGAGAAACATAGCAAGACTCTGTCTCTACAAAAATAAAAAATAAAAGAAAACTAGCCGGGCATGGTGCCTACGGTCCCAGCTACTCGGGAGTCTGAGGCAGGAGGGTCTCGAGCCCAGGAGGTTGAGACTGCAGTGAGCTGAGATCGCACCACTACATTCCAGCCTGAGCAACAGAGTGATATCTGTCTCTAAAAAACCACCCAAATAACAAAAACATTAGTGGCTCTTGTGGCTAGGTAATATAATTATGAACTTTTTTCCATTATTGTTATTATAAATTATCTATCATGGTCATCAGCCATTACAGTTTTTCTTTCTTTCTTTTTTTTTTTTTTTCAACATTTCACCTAAATAGAAAGCCACCACAGAAAAGAAAAAAGGACATGAAAAGCTTAGTTGGTCATTATTTGGAGGCCAGCTGGTTACAGTGCTCTGATCAGGTAGACAACAGGCAGAACCACTATTTAGTTTCATTTATATACATGGCTGTGATTGCTCTTGAGTCAATTAGTGCTTTAACAATATCAACAACAAAAGCTGCCTCTCAATCACAGTGTGTGGTTGATGGAGATGTGATGGTCATTGATCATTAGCTCCCAATACCCAAGACTCAAGACTACGTACCCTTTTATGGTCTTCCAGCTGCCGCAGGGGTGGACTTGGTTCAAGCTCCTGCTAGGCATGCAGAAATTCCATTTTAAGTACAACACTAAGGAGACACTACCATCTGCAGCATCAGTCACACATAAAATACGTTGAGAGTTCATATATAGACAAGAGTTACACAAAAGGAGAATAGGTCTAGATTTTTGTTTTTCCCCCGAATATCCATGCTTGATTACTTTAGATGCTGCTTAATGACTGTCCCATACCCCCGACCCTAATGCACTGTTTAAAATGGGCAGACATAGGACTTTTTGGCCAACATAATTTATTGCAAAGACCATGAAGAAGAAGTTCTATATTATATGCTGTGACATTAACCCAAAAAGGGTTGTAATTCAAGGTTCAATCGGGCAGGTTCTTATGATTCATACATGCATCATTGCACAGCACATGCATAAGGACATCAAGACACACGCCTCTGAGCAGACACAGACATGGGACCACAGCTCTCCCCGCCCCACGAGTGCACAAGTCTTGTAACAAAACTGTTAACAGAATGAGGAGCTCCGATTAGGATATTAAACACTGATCATTAGAAAACACAGACATACAACTTCGCTATTCAATCATTTGTTCATGTTTCATTTTTAAGGCTTCTTTCAAATGAAGTACACTTCGTTCTAGCTTGAACTACGGTGATTTTGGAATAGTTTCTGAAATTAAATTTTGATACTTGGAAATATGTCTCCCCAAAAAGCTTCTCTATGATTTTACACACCTTAGGAAATGTTAGTCCCTCATTTAGTGAGTTTAGTTAGTAGCAAGAAGAATTTTTTTTTTTTTTTAACTGCATTGTAGGCTGGGCGCAGAGGCTCATGCCTGTAATTCCAGCACTTTCAGAGGCTGAGGCGGGCGGATCACCTGAGGTCAGGAGTTTTGAGACCAGGCTGGCCAACATGGGGAAACCCCATCTCTACTAAGAATATGAAAATTAGCCGAGCGTTGTTGCACATGCCTGTAATCCCAGCTACTCAGGAGGCTGAGGCAGGAGATTCGCTTGAACCCAGGAGGCAGAGGTTGCAGTGAGCCAAGGTTGTGCCACTGCACTCCAGCCTGGGCGACAGCAGGACTTTGTCTCAAAAAATAAAAAGATTTTAAAAAGTGCATTCTAAAATTACAAGTTTATTAGCAGCTTTTTCTACAATTATAAATATTATTTATTATTAATTTAGAATAACTTCAAAACTGCATCATCTCTGCACAGGACCCAAAGTCAATTTTGTATAACAGCAGAAATTGTTATACAAGCATCCTCACATGTCTCAACTAAATGTCTCATGATTAAGATGGTTCTGAGTGAGAACTTTCAAAGAACCATGTCCTGGCACCTGGAGGATGCTCAGTTTGGATCCAGCTCCTCAGGACTTTCTTTCTACACTGAGAGCCACATCCACGACAGCAATGATCTGTTTGCAGCCAGCCTAGAGACCTCCCTCCTACATCTACCACTGGGACAGACTCTTTGTCACAACAATTCAGACACCCAACCAGGACAACCGAGAGGCACCCATATTTGCTGGCACTGGCACTACAAATATAGGCAGGCAACACACCTCGGTGGCGTTCTCAGAATCCGGAGCGGGAGGAAGCTAGTTGGGAGTAAAACGAAGTACGTTAGTCATGGCACTTGCATCTTGTGGGCCACAGAGAAGTCCAGAGACCAACACGCAAGGACAAAACATGGAAGGAAGGATCAGAGATGAGGCAACCCTGCTGGATCACCGGCCGAAGTGGGCTTCAGCAATCAAGGTGACCAGATACCTTCAAATCAAACTGAATGTGGTTGTGCTGGAGGAGACAATTGACCTGCAATGGGGGAACACATCAAAAATAAGAACGAAACAAAAAAGTCTACCACTAACCAAGAAGGAATGATGCTTTAAAACAAAGCAAGTAAAAGGAAGAACCACAGCACATCCGTGTCTCGGTCCACAGAGACAGGGAAAGCAATAGTATGCGTGTCCATGGAGGCTCTCAGGGGAGCAGGGGTAGTGATGAAAGCAGGGGCCCAAGGCTAGGGAAAGTTCCACATGCCACATGTCTCCTGTGGGTTTAGGCTTTATCCCATGTCTCTCCGTTCTCCACATCCTGTCCTACAGCAGGAAAGAAGACCTAGGCTCCAGCTTGGGCTTCGGGGCTGCAGCCTCCCTGCTCCAGTGTCTCTGGGAGAAACAACGTCTCCTGCACTCAGACTGACTATGGAGATGAGTTTCCCACCCCATGCATTTCCCTTGGGGGCTTCATGGTCTGGGTTTCCTGGCCCCATCCCAGCCATGCCACACAGATACCACCCTCCCCCTTGATTTCACAATTTCCAACCCATGGATGAGCAACAAAAGGATGCCTCGAAAGGACATGCAGGTGAGGGGGAAGGGATGAGAGGGCAAAGAGGGGCTACACAAAGATATGCCTGGAGAAAAGTCTACCACTCCGTCTGCAGACAGTGCCGTGAATCTGCCCTCCAAAAGGACATGTGCCTGGAGCAGAGAAGAGATGTCAGATGGAACTGCCAGACCCCACCTGGACATCTCGGGACCAAAGTCACACACCAGCGGTGTGACTGGTGTGAGGTGTAGTCTGAGGCCACGGGACAAACCCAAGGCTCACGCTGCAACTGTGTGACCTTGGCCTCTAACAGAGCTCCAGCACATTCATCTCAGGGCCAGAAGGTGGCTGTCGGGTGGCGGGTCAGGGCTGGTGTTGAAAGCATGAGAGCAGTGACACTGTGAAATCTGGTGGTGTCTTCATTCAGCTCCACGCTACCCCTTTGGTAGTTTGATCACCAAGAGGGAAGAAAGCCTCTTAATATAGGGCTGCTATATTATGTAATCTAATGATTTCTGTCTTCTGTCTATTTCCCAATAGAGAAAATGAAAGAAAGATCCAGGGGATTAAACTACTTCGGCAAAGACAACAAGGGTTGCTCACTCAATTCTGGACAGATGACCTTTCATGCGTGAGCCCAACTCCACTAATCATAGGGAGAAAACTTGCCTCTGAAGCATGCAGCCTCCTGTTTGGGGTGGGGAGGGACAGTGCTGGTGGTAGGAAGGACTTGAGTGGGGGAGAAAAGTAAAAGCAGAGCACAGGTAAAGGTATTTTCAAAATGATAGAAAGATCACAATCCAAGAATGCATTTTTAACTCTACCCTTACATTCTGTACGCTAAAGAATTAAAACGGTGTAAACATTTTTGCTATCTTCCCTTAGTGCAAAACGAACATATGAGAAAAAGCAGAATTAAAGCAATTTCCCATGCATTTTAGAACAGACAGAGATATAGACAGAAGTATTATATTCTACTATTTGCATGGACAACCCTCCCACTACAGCATCCTTTATACTGATCCAGTATGATCAGAACAAAAGGATTATAGGCATGGATTCACCATAGGAATGCACACAGCTACCCTCTTACCCCTTTGCCAATCAAAACAAAAGCTAAAGAAAATAAAGATGGAACTCATGTGTCGTTTGTTTGAATTCTCTTGCCTGTGCTCTCTTTGTCCAGAGAAGCATCTCGAATTCTTTCAGAATAGAAATAGGTAGTATATATCTATTTCTTAATCACTCGGCAGGGATTATGTTTTATGATTGTACTGACACTCTATTTCCTCTGTTAAACTGCTGTTATGCTTGTTCTAAAATTAGTTTAATTAATTCTTAAAACAAAAATTAAATGTAAATTAATAACTGTCTTTTTTCCCTTGAAAATTTTATGAAGCCGTTTGAGAAACAGAGGATACTGTGCAGCTTCAAGAATTACGTCTAACCAGAAAAACACTTTTAAATGTGATCTCTTTATGGAATAGATTGGAAAACCCCAGAGCGCTGCATGAGCATCCTGTGACTATGGCTCATCCAGGGTTTAGCTCTGGTGCTCTGTGTGGCCCTGAGCCAGTCATTGAACGTCTCTGGGCATTCAGCTCCTGACCTATTCAAGGAGGACAAAGCAAATATTCTTTTTCTGTGTGTTTGTTTCTGAGACGGAGTCTTGCTCTGTCGCCCAGGCTGAAGTGCTGTGGCATGATCTTGGCGCACTGCAACCTCCACCTCCAGGGTTCAAGCAATTCTCCTGCCTCAGCCTCCTGAGTAGCGGGGATTACAGGCATGCGCCACCACACCCAGCTTATTTTGTATTTTTAGTAGAGATGCAGTTTCACCGTGTTGACCAGGCTGATCTGGAACTCCTGACCTCAAGTGATCCGCCCACCTCAGGCTCCCAAAGTGCTGGGATTACAGGTGTGAGTCACCACGCATGGCTGCAAATATTCTTTAGGATTCCTTCTAGCTAAAATACTAATTAATTCTTGGTTTATTTTCAGTAAACTTCATTTCACAATATCTAGCCGGCAAGTTCCCTGAATAATCCAACCCGCTGGGACAGAAAATGTTTCCAGGCATGGAAGGGGCCAGGCCACACGTGGTACCTAAGTTGGTAAAACCACCAATAGCCTATACTAGCACTTCCTCCTATAAGAATGTTGGCTATGTTTCCTTGAGGATAAGGTTATTTTACAGCAATAAGCTGTAATTTCAATAAATATAAGCACATTAATAGGATATGTATGTTCAAATAAGATCTGTATAAATACAATGTATAATACCCCAAGCAAAAGATAATGTTTAATAAGTGAATAAATGGAATTATATTTTTATTGTCACTATTTTTTTTTTTTTAACATGAAAGGTGAAGCCCTCATTGAACACGTATTCACGAGGAATGTTTTGAGGGCATGGGCTGTCTGAAATTCCCATGTTCTGTATTCCTGCTTAGTCCCAGGACCAGTCACTACATTCAGGTGCTGGCACCTCCAGTCAAAGCCAGTATCACACACCAACAGGTGATTCATAGCGATCTGATGTGGTCTGGTTTTGAGCTTAGAAACCAACTAGTGCCCCCTACTGCCTCTTCATATTTACTCTGCAATCTTAAGTCTTCCCAGTGTTTTTAGGCAAGGTGAGCAAAACCTAACAATAGAAAAATAACTCCCAATGACTGGCTTTGAAATAGAAATTCAAACTGCATCTCAAGTCTCTGAATCTTAAGTGTCCTTCCCGCATGAGGCCATGAATCAGGCCCTCATTATGGTACCTTGGGTAGTAACTGAATATATGCATATACGACACGGATCTACTCACTTGCAACACATAATGTACTTAGCATTTTATCAAGGAACGAGTTTCTACTATAAATGAAGAAAATTATACTTTATCATTCTTAAATGAAAAGGAGCACACAGACTTCCTAAGGTGACTATTTCTGGTGTTTGCACAATTGCAAGCACCCACATCCATCCATCCGCTTCATGTGTGCCTATCACAGACTAGCACAGATCGCGGCCTGCAAACACCCTTTGTTTTCTACTGCCCTCAGCAGGAATCCCCCTCCTACCCTGGGGTTTCTAGAATTTTCCTTTGAAATGGGATGTCTCTTTCTATGACTACCCTGATAGAAACTGAATGCAATTCAAAAAATATAACTGTATCACAGATCTAGTTATCAGCAAATCAAAGACAATTTGTATCTCCAGCTCCTTGAATCAGTCTTCAGAGTTCCTTTCCACTCACTCACAACCTCAGAGGAGACCAACAAACAAATAGCGAACAGGCTTGCAAATATGTTTGCTGGGTCCGGTCCTGCATGAGCCTCTGAAAACCCACACCAAGAAAACAGAAAGCTTTAAAGAAAATTGAGCTAAAATAGAAGTTATCTAGCATTTCAGTAGAGCAACTTTAAGTCTTCCTATCTGCTGAGACAACTATCTTTACTAACTGTATTTGTTTTTAGAAACAGAACTAAGCAAAAATTATTTAGCTCCAACAATGTGGTTTCACCTACATTTTATAGAACGAGCTCATTGGAACTCAATAGCAAAGTTCATTTTTTAAAAACACATTCTGACATGACCAAATTATACAACTTCAGTCATTATGGAATAATCTCAGTGATATACATATATATATATATCTCCACTGATTCTGCAATAGCTTCTGTATGTTCTGAGTTGAGTTTGCTCTGTGGTTGCCAGTGCCTAACAGTAAACAGCCCTACTGCATTTATTGGCAATTACTGCTGAAGGTCACACATCAGCAGTGAGCCTAAATTCCAGGAAAAAAAGCAGCTCTTATGTAACTGCTGCCTGAACGCTGGCAGGTACCCAACCCAGCAGTTCACAGCAATGTAAAAAAGTAGGACACCTCCATCCTGGGTTGGGCGTCATGAGAACGCCCCCTGAAGGTGAAATTTAATCATTCTGTGTTTCTCCCTTTCCCCCCCTCTCTGAATTTTACAATGGCATCTTTTGCCTGCAGAAGCAGCTCAAGGTAGAAGTTGAGGAGTTAACATATGCAGGCTGCAGCCGCCCTGAGTAGCTGGAATGTGAATTTAGCTTTTTTGTTGCAATGCAGGAGGGCAAAGTTGCTAGCTAGCACCAATGGCTCCAGAGATTCCACAGTTCCAAGGAGGCAGTGATTCAATGGGAATCACATCTCAAAAATGTAGAAACAGACACATCCATTGAACTACAGTACACGCTTTCTAAACACACCAATCCTTTCTACAGACATGTCTATGAAAACTAGGCAGACTACTGTTCTGCTCACCACCTCGGGAGTACTTCGCCAGAACTCTGTTTGATTAGCGCAGCGCTTTAAAGCTTAGGAAAGTAATTCACATGATTACCTGTTGGGGCCACTCACCTGTCATCACCTGATCTCCTAAGCTGCTACCTGGCCTCCCTGCTTAGGTAGAAGTCGCGGATTCCATGAGCTTCTCCTTTCTAATGTGTCTCATGGTTGAGAGCTGTCATCTTGCACGAACCTATATTATTATCCGTTTGCCCCCACAAAACTGTAATCTCCAGAATGGCAGACACTGTGCCCATTTGGGGCACCACTGAATCCAAATCCCCTGGACGTAACAGGCACTCAAATATTAGTCATATAAACCAATGTCTTTAGCACCAGCTGGTAACTGTTTCAAGCCAAAAATGGCTAGAGGAGAGAACTTTCTAGGGTGATGGAAACATTCTGTATCTTGATTTAGGTGGTGGCCACACTGGTGTACACATGTATAACAATTCATCCAGCTCTGAGCGGAAGGTACACCAACACAAGGAGTTTCTCTCTCCTCTACTCCATCTGTCCCCCGACCCCAGCCCCAAGGGATTAAGAAAAATCAGGGGGTAAGGATGGAGACTCTGCTTCTTTGTTTGCCAAAAAGCAAACAACCCTTCCTTTTCCTGGTTTCAAACAAAATTTTATTCTAGAAGGCAGCGGGGAAGACCCCATACCATGCACTTTTCTTGCAGGAAATCTACACCTCTGTCCTCATTTCACCCTGCTTTCTCAGAGCACTGACAGGGCCTCAGTAGGCATTGTGCTTTTTTTCAAGTTATTAAATGCACATCAAGTGGCCTTTATGATCAAAGCGTGGTGGCCCTTCTTCAATGGGCCGCTGGGCAGGCCCTACACAGCCTTGGGGCTATTCCCCACCACATTTAGACTTTGGAGCATGGGTGTGCAGTTCAGATGTGAGGCCCTGCCCTCATCCTGGGCCAGCATGAACTCTCATTAAGCTTCTGCAGACCTCCAGCTGTGGGCTGCAGGTTTCCAGGAGTACACACCGGCAAATGGCTTGGTGGGGGAGAAACCACAGGAGCTGCAGTAGCTTCCAGAACAGCATCAACGACAAAGGCCAAGGAGGCATCTCTGCTGAAAGGGCCAGATCCACCAGCCTGAGGGGCTGGGGACAGGGCATCAGTGTCCCGGCACTGACGGTTGCCAGGGGAACAACGCAGAGGGGGATCCACAGTTGCTTCTTCAGGGAATTTTCAAAGAATCTGAGTGGCTGCCAGAACATTCCTCTTTTATAAACAGACAGTATTCTATTTCCTAGAGTATAATTATAAACACACCTGCTCCAACTGTGGAATCTTTCCATAAGCGAGCAATAAACTCCCAGCCAGGAGACCCAAGTTCTATCTTGAGCAAGCAAACACATCAACTGATTACTATGGTGCAAAACAGTGTATTAATAACACCACAGACTCTGATTAGGGAAGGTTTTCCTTTCCCGACTTAATTTGTACTTAAGCAAATAGAAACTCTACCTCAATATTTCAGGGGGAAAATTTACATCAGTGAGGCATTTACAACGCTATGTAGAAACAAGAGTCTTAAAGGGTGCCAACACCAAATTCAGCATAGAAGTGATTTTTCTGGCATACAAATAACCCGGAAGAAGGAACGCTAAACAGGAAATGGCAAAATTCCCTGCAGTTATAGCAGTTAATTAAGTTGGTGCATTCCCTTTTGTTTTTCTCACCTTCCAGTCTTCCCAGAAGGCATGGCCCTCTCAACTGCTCCTGTCTAATTAAGGAAAAATCTGTGTTTATGGAATTTACTGTGGCAGAACGGTAAGCACATCGGGAAAGCCAGTCATGTGTTTGTCCTGATTTAGTCACTGTCTAGCTGTGTGAGCTAGGACCAGCCACTGAGCCTCTCTGAGCCCCGTTCCTGAAGTAACTGTGCAAATTCAACATAACTACTTATGCTGCTTTCTGTTTTAAACCTGTAATTCAAACTCTCCTTAGGGATATCTGAACCATTTCTTAGTATTCCTGAAATGACAGTGTATTAATTACAGTAGATACTAGAGTAGACAGCATGTTCTATTTGGTCACTCCATCTCATCTAAAGGCATTTGTTGCTCTGGCAAAAGAAGAAACAGAGATCTGAAGTAGATCAGAGAAGTGACTTTTAAAAGACAAATTAAGTTTTAGTCCAGTTTGTTTGATTTGCCAACCAATTAAGCCCTCTCAATTATGTACATGAATTCCTCAAATTAAATTTTTCCGGTAGCATTTACCTAGCATGTATCACAACCTAAAAATATAGCAAAGAATATTGAAAAAATGGACAAAACAGAAAACATTCAAGAGGCCCCCAAATCCCAAACAAAATGACCACTAATCAGTCTCCAGGGTAATTCTGGGTAAGGGAAACTAGCTTGATACATAAGTGCAGAAGCCACTGGATGATATTCAATTTCTGGATCTATACATAGTTTTCCTAGAAGAGAAGCCATGGGTACAGTACATTTCTAACCTCGCCGGTGAGCCTGCGGATGGAAAGTCTCAACTAGCATGTAGGAATTCACATTGCACTTAAAAAAAGTTGTATATGAACTCTCACACTCAATATTGTTCAATACATAGACCAAGAGAGTAATGAGTTTTCCTTTTTCACTACTTTCAGATTATACCAATGCTGTTGTATCTTTTGGCATCAGATGCTTTACTTACAGATAGAGAAAAGTTCTTTAGGTCAATTTCAAAACTGACTTTCAGAGATAGGTTAATGGCCAGCGTCAACCACCAATTCAGTTGAGATTTTAGACAGCGAACAATTAAAATCTTATCACAGTTTAGAGAGTCTTTATCTAGACTTAGATGAGATCTCCAAGGACTAATGGCAAACAAACTCATGGGAAATGCTAACACAGACACGACAGACTCCACTCACTCCCAGAGGGCACACCACACAAAGCCAGATACTCTGACGCTATGAGACTAGAGGAGGGATCACAGGGCTAACTGGGAGGGTGTCACAGAAACACCACCATGAGACATGAAAAACAAAAAACAACAAAATTAGGACCTCAGCATTATCCAATTCATCAATGGAAATTAGCTGGAAAAGAAAAAAGGGGAGAGAGAAAGAAGGAAATGTTAGGAAAGGAAATACAAGCCAGCCAAGTTTACAGACTTTACTCTTATTGCTGCTTTCTCCTTAAAGCCTTGCCAGACGGGTAACCATCCTAAGAGGCTTGGGCACTGAGGACATGGCCAGAGCTCACCGTGACATCTGCTTGGGACCAAAACGGACACGATGCTGCCATACTTTATTCACATGTCAGGCATCAGACCTCACAGGTCACTTAACCACGTGTGCAGACAGCCCTGCACTTGCTTATGGACATGAAAACTTGAACTGAGCTGGGAGCAAGGACAAATTCCCCAATGTTTTTTCCACAGAGGGTGGGAAAGAGTAGAGTGAAAGACTAGAGTAGAATTAGCCCAGTTTAGAAGAAAATTCTTTCCTTAGCCTCATTTTATGACTCAGTGGGGGGACAGAAGCTCAAACAGTACCAGCTATAACTTCAGCAGCTAATAAGACCAGCATATCCCCAGCCTGGTCCTGTGGATGATTAAAGGAAACTACATTCCCTCTAGGATGATTAGTGCCAACTCAAGTGATTAGTGACATGGGATTTATCAGCATCGTGTCCAAGAAAAACAAAAGCACAAGAGAAGTATCACAGTTATGCTTGTTTAGGGATAGATGCATGATACTCAACTGATTTTTTATTAGGCTTTGTTAACATTGAGTATATTTTGCAAATTTAAGTTGCTGTCAGAAACACTAGTAGCTGGAAATGTTAATACTTTACTCACCTGCAGCAAAGACGCTTTGGTAATTAATAGGAGACTGACAATGTAGGAAATGAAAGCCTAGGCATTACCTGAGGTCATATACTTTCTAGTACTTAAACAGCTCCTACTATTCAGAAGGGAAACAGATTTTAAATACATTCTGAGATATCCTTTTACATTAATTCCTGGCCTCCGAATTTCTTTCCAAAGCTTTTTGAGTAATAACTTAAGTCAACAGCAGTTTAATAATAATAACCTACAGTAAACAAAATCAGTTATTAATAATACATAAAATAACTATGTTTCCTTCTCAAGCCAGGTCTAGGGGCTTGAAGATTTTCTGAGAGAGTGATTCAGATTAAATTTTAGAGATATTTAGCTGTAGGAGATTATTTTCTTTTCAACACAGACATGGTTTAAATTGTAGATTAAAAGCAGAGATTAGTAGGCATTGCACACAGAGTGTTTGTAAAGTCCTGATATAATTTTAAAGTTTATTAACTTTGAATACCCAGGATAGAAAGACACTATAAGTATCATGCAAAAATATATTGCATCATTATTTTGGTGATAGTTTTAATATTTATTTTATATTTAACACTCTCTGAGAAGTACATGCATTGGTGGTCCTCTGAATTGTAGAGACATAAGAATTAAAGATGATTTTTTTTATTCCTAAGTGGTCATGATTAAAATCTCTGGCCATCTTCTTCAGTCAGCCCCTACCTTTCATCATATGTGATAATTTGTTGTTGTTGTTTTGAGATGGAGTCTTGCTCTGTTACCCAGGCTGGAGCACAATGGTGTCATCTTGGCTCACTACAACCTCCACCTCCTGGGTTCAAGTGATTCTCCTGCCTCAGCCTCCCAAGTAGCTGGGATTATAGGAGTGTGGCACCACGTCAGACTAATTTTTGTATTTTTAGTAGAGATGGGGTTTCTCCATGTTGGCCAGGCTGGTCTCAAACTCCTGACCTCAGGTGATCCACCCGCCTCGGTCCCCAAAGTGCTGGGATTACAGGCATGAGGCACCGTGCCCGGCCATGATAGTTCTTGAACAGGTACTTCTTGGGGGCACTGGACCCAGACAAGTGAACCAACTACTTGCTACTCACTAGCCTGATTCCTCTGTGTGGGAACTGATCAAAACTACAGATTTTGGAAGACCTTGGGACAATCACACTTTGTAAACTCACTTGTCATCTACTGGAGAGTGTTTTCAACAGTGTGAAAAATCAGCAAGAGCTGAAGACTAGATGTTTAAGTTTTGACACATTTAGTGCTCTCAGGGCTAATGCCTGCTATTGTTTACATAATCGTGTAACACAATGGAAACTTAGAGGTTCAACCTGTAGGTAGACCTCAAAACACTCAAATGGTGTCCATCTGTTCACTGATAATGCAATGGTGAAGAGCTAGGACTCTAGGATCAGACTGTTGGGGTTTGAACGCCAGGTTTCCTTGTTATTAACTATGTAACCCCGGGCAAATTCTGGAGCTCTCTGAGCCTATGTTTTCTCTTCCTTGCGTATAAAATAGTTAATGACAATAGTGGTATCTATCTCTGAGGCTGAACTGAGATAAGGTAGATGTGTTTAGTATAGTGGCTAGCACATGACAAGAGGTCGATCCATGTTATCATTGTTACTTATGACATAATCTAGGAAACGAGTGAATATCCATGACTTTTAAAAAGTGTAGGTCAGTCTTACAGTGATTCTATCATGTTTTAGTCTATTTGGTAATATGGGTGACAGTTCTTCATGGCTTTTTTCCCCAAGGCAGGGAGATCCATACAGGCACACCAATGTTTTTGAACAGGATAATAAAGAATGATGTCAACTTTCTTTTTCATCTGTGACCTTGACTAAGTACTCAAGTTGAATGAAATAGTAAAGATGGTTAAAGGTACCTACGTCTCATCATCTTTAAGGATTATTGCTTAGAAAAAAGGCAAGAAAACCCGGCCCACACATGGTGGACACCACCTCAGGGGAGGCTGGAGAGGACACTGCACTGGGATTCGGGAAACCCAGACTCTAGTCTTGCTCTCATATAGACTTCACACGTGACCTCAGGCAGTCTCTCAGCTCTGAGCCCCAGGCTCCTCGTATGCACAGGGAGAGTTGGAAGAGGCCATGTCAGGGCCCCTCCAGATCCTATTCTCTGGATGTGAAGGCTCAGGAGGGGGCAGAGAAGCAGAACAATTCTGGACATCACCAAGGAGGTGTCAGTCATGGGGCAAGCTCCATAAGAGGCCACTTATCAGCAAACGGGGATGGGAGGAGGGATACGGCCTCTACACTCACCATGGTGTTGTCCTCAGCACTCAGGCCAAAGAACACCTCATTTATTATATTGACTCAAGCGAACTGGTTTGCTTGAGAAAGGTTAGTTCTTTGGCTCCGGGTTATTTCTGCCCTTGAAAAAGTTGGCCTGCCCTGTGCGTCATGCTTCTTTAGTCAAACGGGGCAGCCAGTAAACCATCAAAAAGCATCTTCAAAAAGCCTTAGTGAGACAGACAAAGTGAATACCAGCTACCAGGTCAGAAGACAGAAATACTTTAGTGTCCCTTGTTCTCCTTCTCTCTCTTTTGAAGTTCAATTAATAGGAATGTTTAAGTAGCATTTCCCGGCAGTCAAGCATTGGGCCAGCAGCACTGCAAGTCTTGCAGGTTTAGAGTGGCTAACATGGGTTTCTAGAGCATCTTCCTTGGTTTCATGGCATTTTCCATGCTGGCCTATAGTTTGTTCATGTTCATGGAGGGGAATGACAGACCTAACCAGACTGGAAAGAAATGCCATCTCTCTCCAAGCCTCTCTGCTTAGGTGTTACTAATTTCTTCACCAGCTGAAAAGGATTTAACTAGACCCCAGGAACCTCTATGAAACTGTGATATAATTTACTCTTTCCAAGTGATCTCCTTTGAGGGTCCTCTCAACCCTATGCCCTTTCTTTCTCCATGAGCTTTATAACATGCATTACGATATTTCTCATGTGGCATCCCCTGGGGCCTGGGATGCTCTCTCCGTTGGCACTAACGGGTAGGGGCAGGGAACAGGGCAGCACACTTTCCATATGGCCTCAAAGACCCTGACATACTTGTCCGCCATGCAATCGAGACTCAGGAAACTCCAGGACAATGCTTCTACTTTCCAGGTTATAAAAAGACAACTGCAGGGAACTGCATGTATAATCACAACTTGTAACAGTCACTAGAATAGAGGCACCAAAGTTTACTTCAAATACCTCGGTTATAGAAAGAAACAGATATTCCAAATAAGAGAAATTTGTGGTCTCCAGATTTGAAAAATCAGGTTTTAGGCCCATGGATGCAAAAATACTCACTCAGCTTTGGTGGATTTAACCTTTTTTATGGAGAGCAAGTTTCTGTAACTAGATTCATATTTTATAAATGTTTCTGAAAACTAACTTTAAGAGAAATGATGATCTTGTGAAATAAACGGTTATTATTTATCTGTCCGGTAAGTGTATTCTCTGCCATCAGCCTTCCCCCGACCCCCCGCCTTTTTTTTCTTTTCTTGTTTTTAAGAGCAAGACCTACTAGGTGCCTATACAGGTATGAACAGGCCATCCCAGCACTTCTCACCTTACCAGGGGTCTTCACTTCTATCATTTACATTTATAAACTCTTGTCTGGCAGGTTTTCTCTGCAAAATTCCTACTGAGTTACAGAAACCTATGTTCTAATTAGTTTCTAAAAATGTAATGGAGATTTCTAGTCACGGAATTGCTTGTTGCTTATAGATTATGCCCCATGGTATAAACTAAGAAACCACATAATCTGTTTTCTGTTTTCTTATCCAAGGAGTCTCACTAGTAACATTGCTCTAATATTAATGAGAGAGAGGTTAGAAAGCAACATTCCTGCAGACATTTATACTTGCGACAATCTGGTTGTCACCATCCATTTTGACAAGGCAGGCTGATTTAACTATCAAGGCTTCTTCCTAGAGCTGAAAAAATGACTTACTGGGTATTTTGATAAGTCGGTGATATCAGCATATTTACCTACTCAGAAATTGTTGCTAAGCATAGCTGGCTGACCATTAGTGAACGTTATTACCTTCAAATGAAAATGGGTGAGACTTAAATTCATGCCCATGATTTGTTGCTGGGGGCTGAAAGGAAAGGGAATGGGATTGTTTCTGTCCTGCTCTGCCCAACATTAGAGGTGTAAGGAATGGAGCTGGTATATCCTTGCTCACTGAATATACTAAGAACAATCAGGTCACGGGACTGTCCATTTCCCAATCTCCCTCAGCAGTGGTGACGTGTATGCCTGCCTTAATTGCAGTTAGAAGTGGAGGGCGTTTCTTGGTGCACTGAAAGGATTGTGCAACATCTCATCTGAACGAGGCAAGTAAACCTACAGGTATGCTTAGCTGAAACCTAAAAATCAGAAACGCATACTTTGATACACAAGAGGCATTTGCTTCTCACTGGGAATTTAAATAGATGGAAAATCTTGTTATTATCACTTCTCTGACATTAGATTATGTGGCAAGCAGCCTATGAGAGACGACTAAGTATTTTTGACTTTTAAAAGAGAGAGTCATATGATTTAGCTCCCTTTAAGGGCTGGATAACCAGCTTTTTTTTTTTTTTAAGTCAGTAATGCCCGAGCTAAGATGGGCTTTTAAAGGTCCCTCCCTTCAATTTCATAGCAAAACCTGGTTTGACCATGAAAATAAAATGCAATACCTTTTCTCCATAGCCTCTATCTTTGGTCATCATTTCCCTCAGGGTCTGGAGGACCTTAATGCAGAGCTTCTCCTCATTTTCTTCTAGCAGCTGTTTTGTATGCTTTATTAACCTGAATGGGGGGAAAGCCATGGATTACGTCCTTGAAGCTAACTTTAAATTAAAAACACTTCACAAGCAATTTATTTTAACTAGTCCGTTAATGAACAAATATTTATTAAGAGCTCTCAGGTTAAACATACTTCAGGGCATTCCTAGAACTGAGAACAGCCAGTTAGCGACTGTGTCTCAATAGCGACACCTGCTGGTAAGTCACAGCAAACAGGCTCACTGAGCAGGAGTCAGCCACATACAATGGAGAGATTATATGGACAGAAGAACCGAGACAGAGGTCCACTCAGACCTGCTCGTATATAAAGCGTGGCTATTTATCCACTGAGAATTGCCGGTAAAATGGGTCAAATATGCCAACACTGTAAAAAAAGAAACAACTCATGAGGACGATGGTTGAGGCCAATACACACAGTTCCCTTATGCACAAGCTTGTCCTTAGAGGGGTCCAGAAAAGTAAGAAACTCATAGGCAGAGTCCAGCCCCAAGCTAAACAAACAACTAATCTCAAGGTAAAAAATTTTTTTTTTTTTTTTTTTGAGACAGGTTCTTATTCTGTTGCCCAGGCTGGAGTGCAGTGGCAGGATCTCGGCTCACTGCAGCCTCAACCTCCTGGGCTCAAGTAATCCTTGTGCCTCAGCCCCCAGAGTAGCTGGGACTACAGCGACGTACCACCACCACACCTGGCTACATTTTGTAATTTTTGTAGAGACAGAGTTTCACCATGTTGTCCAGGCTGATCTCGAAATCCTGGGCACAAGTGATTTCCTGCTTCACAAAGTGTAATATTTCTGCTTAATATGAGTTCTACTCAATGTAAATAAGCCAATGCAAACAAAGTTTAAAAGACACGGCAAAGACTAGAACAGAGACTTGCAACATTTTTGGTTCATATTGTCCTTCAGGTTTCAGTCATTTTTCATGCAGCCTCTATGCAAAATAAGACATTTAACAGTTACATTCATTAAATAATTCAGTCCTAACTTATTAAAGATTTATGGTCCAACAACTTAGTAGCCATCTGAAAAAATAATACATATAAACTGAGAAACAGGCAGGGCATGGTGGCTCACGCCTGTAATCCCAGCACTTTGGGAGGCCGAAGCGGG